GTACAAATGCGCTTTACACAATTGATGTGTGTATGGATTGGGATAACAGTTGTATGAGCCCCTAATAAAATGTTAAAAACAAAACAAAACAAAACAAAGACAGCAAAGAATAATAAAGACTTCCACGATGAAAAAAAAAAAAAGAAAAGAAAGATGTTCTGCTTGGAATCTATCCTTCACCGAAGAATGCAGGGATGTGCTCTTCACCTCACAGGAGCCTTCTAAATCACACTATGTGCTTCCTAATCCGAATCCCAAGTTATTCCTGTTCCCTCAAATTGATCCTCAGCCCAAGTTGTAGCCTGCTCCCAAACAAACAAACCCCAAATGCCCTGAACATCGGGTTGCTGGTGGTTTCAAACTGCTGATCTTACAGCCAACTCCTAACCACTGGCTCCTTCCGTTGTGTGTTGTTGTTAGGTACCATTGAGTCAATTCCAGTGAACCCATGTATGACAGAACAAAACACTGCCTGGTCCTGAGCCTCCTCACAATGGTGCTTTATTTCTGGGCCATTGATGCAGCCACTGTGTCAATCTATCCTCCTCTTTTGTTGCTGCACAGCATGATGTCCTTCTCCAGGGACTGGTCTCTCCTGACTTGTCCCACATAATTTTGTCCCACGTTACTTCCCTATAAGCCATTTGACTGTGAATTCTGTGTGGCCATTGCAATGAATGATTGAACCCTGCAGAGAAGTAGAGAGTGCTAAGAATAGCTGGTGTCATAATGGTGAAAAAAAGGGAGAGTGGGAGTGTGTCTAACCTTCACCTCATAAAAATTGACTTTACACTGATCCTGATTCTTATCTGGAATTTTTCTTGCTGAAAGTGAGAAGGCCTAAGGTACTTACTGATGAAGATCAAGGACTTCATCAAGCTCAAGGTTGAAGTACAACTCAATGTAACCAAAACCAAATTCCTCACAACTGAAGGAGTCGGTAACATCATGACAAACAGAGAGAAGATTACAGTTGTTGTGGAGGAGCTCATCTTACTTGGGCCCACAATCAAGCCTCACAGTGTGTGGGAAACAGAAAGATTTCTCCCAAGTCATCTCCCCCAAATATATGTTCGACTTAG